CTCTGCAATGAATTGCAGCCAGTGCTGGGATTGCCAGACAGAATCAGCTCAGCAGCCTGGCTTGTGGAGCACCTCCTGGGACAGAGCCCAGCACCAGCTGCTCCACAGAAAGATCAAACCCTTCCCTCAGTGGAGAATCACATCATCTGCCTGCTGGGGCAGTTCCTTTCTGCATCTGAACTGTAGAGCATGCTGGGAGATGAAAAGATTGATATCTGTTATTTTATTGCCTTATCTAAAGTAGCTTTGAACATCCTCAAAACCATGAACATTTCTAATTTAGTTTTTTTTTTTATAGACTGTGCAATGCTGTTTTGTTGCCAGGAGCTCTGCTGGTTGCCTAAAGGAACTTTGATTTCCTTTAGTATTTTCTTTCGGGTTTCTGGGTTGCCCCATTTCTTGTTTGCAGGATTTCATTTGCCATTTTACCCTCCTTAATCTTTTATACCTCTGTCATGACCTGTTGATTTTTATTCTGTTCTTGACAGTTTTAGCTCTTGCCTCAGTTTCCATAGATAGATGAAGCCAGGGAGGCTGTTAGGTCCAAGTGTGAAGATGGCTTTTGTAGTGGAGCTCCATCCTGCAAAGATCTGCCCTGAGACCCCCAAACCCAGGGACATTTGTGGTCTGTGTAAAACCTTTACAAGGGTAAAGTTCATGGTGACAGCAGTGGATTTAATCAACAGAGTAGGAATAAGCAGTAACCTATGGATCTAAACATTCCATCTTAACCCCAAAAGAGAGGGCTGGTAGGAACAGGAATATCTGTGGTATTCTTGAATTTTTAATTATTTTAAGTATTCAGTTACCCACTGGCAGGCATCAGCAGATAAAATAAAACATCAGAAACTCCTCTTTATCGTTACTGTCTCTTTTTTTTCCTTTCCTTCTTTCAGATGATCATTCAAGGGTGAGATTGCAGCTGCTGGATGGGGACCCTCACTCTGACTACATAAACGCCAATTACATCGATGTAAGGCTCCTGGGCACTCCCCCTGTGACCACCACTCCTGCTGACAAGGCTGCTTATGAATTTGGTGCATCTGACACAGGGACAGACTGTTGATCTGATAGGAACGACAGCTGAACAGGATACAAACCTCCTGTTGTGACAGGGAGAAGGTTCTCTGTCTCCAGTTAATTCTGTCTGGCCAATCTGGCCAGATGGAGGTTTCCTGTGTTTGACAGATCCACCAACAGAACTGGAGTGTGGGATAAATGGCATATACAGAAATGAGTATCAGCCCCTCCCAGCAGCATGAGTGGATACGTGAGGCTTACTCACTCCTCACCAAGTGGCCCTGCAGAAGGCATGCAGATAGATTGACTTTGTTTTTCAGTGGTAGAACATTCAGAAAGCAGCCTCCTTGCACACACAGAATGGTTAAATAAAGATGCATTTCTTGTATGCAACCTAGTTGCCTGTCTTGACTCATCCCATGCCTGCTGTTGGTGCACTGGTAGGAGTTAAAAAAGTTGGGGCTTTGTCTGAACTGTGATCTCACAAACTCTGACTTATTTTCTTTCTTTCCAGGGCTACCACCGGCCTCGCCATTACATTGCAACTCAAGGCAAGTTCATTCTTCTATGTCTAAATATTTGTAACCACTGCTGGCTTAAACTGTTGTGAGAGATTTATAGGGTGACATCTGTTTAGGGGAATGTCTGAAAACTTGATACAGGGGCACAATAGGGAAGGATGTAGGATGTTCCAAGATCCCAGGGAGGTGGTGGAGTCATCATCCCTGGAGGTGTTCAAAACATGAGTAGATGTAGCACTTGAGGCCGTGGTCTAGTGGCTGGGGAAATGTTGGGAGGAAGGTTGGACTGGATGATCCTAGAAGTCCTTTCCAACCATAGTCCTTCTGTGATTCTGTGCTCTTGAAGGTACTCAAATGCAAAACCTCAGCTACAGGAATAGAAAATGCTACAGCCTTAGAGGTGGCAGTACAATTTATAACGTGCCTGTTGTGCCTGAACGATGAGATCAGAACTAAAAGGGACTTTACAGATCTTGTGTTACCTTCTGGAGTGAAATTACTTCAGGAGGACAGTATGAATAAGCCTGTGACTGAGGAACTTCTGGGCAGTGGGAGCTAGTGGGCAATGTGTTTCAACACCACCTCCTGTAAGTTAGTTCATGAGTTTTCTGTGCCTTTAGTGGTAAAAAGACAAAAAAAAAAAAGGAGAAAAACCCTACCCATGTTAGTTGACAAACCTCCCTACTTGTTCTTTACAATAAGGTGTTGTTTTCCTCCATCACTGGCCAAACCCTGTGCCATGACCACTTTACTATTGTTTGTCCTCATTTTTGTGCATTCCTTGCCCTCAAAGGTGGTGTTCAGAGAAATTTCTCTAGTCTTAAATTCGACTTTATGACTTCACCAGTGGCTTGTCCCTGCTGAAGGAGTAAAGAATCCTAGTAGAATAATAAGATGATGGTGGAGGTATGAGTGTGGGGAATGCAACAAGGCTGAGAACAGGAGGATGGAGGATGGGCAGAGTGGGTGAAAGGAGCCCATGGGAGTTCTTTTCCTACAGTGTAGAAGAGAGGGAGGAAACAAGGTCAGAGAGAGACTCTAGACTAATAAACCTCTTGTGGGTACTGGCTGTTTGGCTTTTGAAACCTGAACTTTTTCTCCCTGGGGGAATGTCAGAAAGGGGCTAATTTCTGCATATTTTCTTCCTCCTTCAGATTTAATAAATATTAAAATGTGAAATGGAGGAATTTTAGTGCTGCATCAGGTATAAATTTCAATACAGCCTTAATTACAGGCTCACTGAAAGCTGCATCCATGTCCCATCACTTACACATCAGTGCTGCAACTATCTCCACTATTTACAATACAGGCTTCACCTCTCTTTCTGGGGTGCCAGAATTTTAAATACCCCCTGTGAGGAACACTGAGGTGTCTGATCTCTCAGAGAGCTCCAGGCTGGTCTGTGTCTGTAACCCTGAATTGCAGAGGGATGCTCTGAAAAGGAGAGTAGGATCCTGTGGGAACAGGACAATGGCTGGGGGGCAGAGCTGAGAAGAGTTGCTGGCATTTGATACAGGCTTTTAAGATGTCCTTTTGTCTTTTCTCCTGCCCCAGGGCCAATGCAAGAGACAGTGAAGGATTTCTGGAGAATGATTTGGCAAGAAAACTCTGCAAGTGTTGTCATGGTCACCAACCTGGTGGAAGTGGGCAGGGTAAGGCTACCACCTTCCCAACACACAAAGCCAAACCAGTGCTGGGTGGCAAGCTCAGAAAGTGAAATGTCTTTTGCTCCCTCTAGCAAGGGAATGAATTCAGCCAATCTGGGTTTTTCTGTAAAATGCTGGATTTTGTAATACTTAGCTGCTTTCCTTCTAGACTAATAAGGATCGTGTTCCCCATGTAAGGCTCAGCTTTAGCAGAGTTATACAAATTTATGCTAGCTGAGAAGCTGTCTCCTTTTTCAGTACAGAAGGAAAAATGTTCTTCTGTAATAATTATTCTTCCTCTGTATCATTTAAATACTTCTCTACCCACAAAAATCCAGAGGGGCGAGGACATGTGACTGGTATTAAAACTCTCAAAAGAGCTCTTTGAATGACAGTTCAAAGCTTAGAGTTTCCAATCACTTCAGGAGATCCCTGTTCTGGGGTGGTATGAGATTGTGCAGAGCTGGATCCTGGGGTCACCCATCAGCATTGGGCCTCCTCAACACCCACCACTTCACTCTCTTGGATTCAGGTGAAGCAGGACTCCCTGTCTCAACACAAGGCAATTGCCGAACCCATGAGGAGAGGAAATGGGAATAACTCACAAGGTGTAGCTTAGACTTTAGGGAGTGAGGAAAAGGCATGTCTGGGGGAGCTTTCCCCACTTCCCACTCCTAGTGGTCTTTGGTTTAGAGATATTCTCAGGCAGAAACTGGAGCTCTTAAAAATTTTGTCTGTATGTTTGTCACTTTCTGTTGCTTTAGTTAAGGAAAATTTAAATGCTAGTTTACTCACAGCCATTAGTAATTCAGCTGCTTTGTATTTGATTTCCTTTAGATCTCATGGTTGAATGCCAGCTGCTTCTGTTCATTTATTGTTATTTATTCTATTTTATCTTCTACTGACGCTTCAGTTTGAAATAAATGCCTCTGTGTAAAAAACCAAAACCAACAAACTTACATTAATCATATTTAATATTTATTATGACTGGAACTGGAACATGAAACCTGCTTCACAGTAGCTAATTGCTTCAGCTTTTAGGTGCCGTTCCACTCTTTCATGCTGGAGCATTTAATAACTTGATAGTCTTTATTAGCTTAAATATCCCTTCTAGGGCTTCACAGACTTGGCTTTCATTTCTACTAGTAGTTTTGCACATGGCTTGAGGAAGTGGCTACGCTTGGGATATGTCTCAGATTTCTTTCTGGAGCCTTAGCTGAGGCCTCTCACAGCTGGTAAAATGTCAAAGTTGCATCACATCTGATAAGGGAAGCTTAGAGTCAAAGAAATGTAATGTACCAACAAGTTTCTTAGAGTCTCTATGAACTGAAATTCTTTGGCTACACAGGGAGTTCAGAATTACATTAACAATAGCAAGAGCATGGATTATTCTCAAAGGGGATGGTGCTGGTGGCTGCCAGGTATTCCCTAAGCCTGATACATGGCCAGGGATTAGGTGAAAATATAAGGAAGACTGTCTTAAAGAAGGAGAGTTAAATGCAGCCTTTTCATTTGTATCCACACAGAGGAAACCCAAAAAAAAGAAAATCCTCCCTGTGGTTTCTGTATATGGTAAAGGAATTTTGATCTAATTTATACAGTTAATTTTGACAAAGTCTGTACATCAGAAGAAAACCCAATTTGCGTTGGCTCCAACTTGAAAGCAGGGTAAAATGTAGGTCAGCTCTAACTCCACTTGAGCTAGTTCCTCTCAATATTTTCTTCTTTCCCCCCTCAGGTGAAGTGTGTTCGATACTGGCCAGATGACACAGAGGTCTATGGAGATATTAAAGTCACATTAATTGAGACAGAACCATTGGCAGAGTATGTCATACGCACCTTCACTGTGCAGAAGGTAAGGAAACCTTCAGGCAGCTGAAATTCTGATCCAACACTTGTGTTCAGAAATATGAACTCTGGGAAGCATACCCAGAATGCTCTTAGAGATGGGAGCTGTTACTATTTGGACAGGTTTCCCTTCAGAAACCTAAATTCTGGGCAGAGGTTCCAATTTTGGACCAACAATTTTACACGAACATCTTGATGCAGCCACAAAAGTAGAACCCGCAGTGCATGAAGTTTAAATGCATCCAAAAGCCAGCAGATAGTTGAGGGTGTGCCAGGAATAATGTCATGTTTCACAGCAGCAAATTACAGATGGAAAAAAAAAGGTATCAATTAAATTGGATCCCAGGTAGGGTCCCCTTTCAACAGAAATAAAAATATAATAAAGACGAGTATAAAAATATAATAAAGGCAAGGATATAACCATTATCCCCAAATGGACAGGATTTGGAAGATTTTTGACTTGTTAGTACAAGTTGGAAGGCTAAATGTATTCCAGGTCTGTCCAAATTACTTTCCAAACACTCAGTAAGTGGTTTTGAAGCTTTTCAAAAATTCCTGCTAAGTGACCTTCAGCCACACTGGGAATATTGTTCCAGTTTTCTGAGACACCAGCTCCATATTTAACTAAATCACTGAAAAACTTGGTAGGAAATATTAATGCCAGAATCTGTCAGGATTCCAGCTACATTTCCTGTGTGATAGAATGTCACAGTTAACTGACACTTCTCTGTTACCCTTTGCAGGGCATAAGTGGGGTCAATTTTCATGTACCAATAACTTGGTCACACCAGAAAAGCCAAAAAAAGATGAGTCTGGGTACCACTTTCTGCCCTTTTCACTAGCAGCTGTAATCACAAACTGAGATTTTTGGCAGGAAATGGCAGAAAATCTACTGTTGCCTGGGGCATGGCCACTCTGTAGGGGTCCATTCCCCAGGCTGTTGCTTCAGCACCTCAAAAAAGATTTAAGAGTGACTTCTTGGTGGTTTATGGCAATGACACTGGAGGAGGCCAGATAAGGGCAGCCAGGGTGTGCTGGGGCTGGGGTTGCCCTCTAAAGATCTTAATCAGCTGGGTTGCAACTCTTAAGACCCCAGGTTTGAATTGGGAGCTGGCATTCACCTTCCTACTCCTCAGTTGTGTGTTGCCCACTTCATTTGTACTTGGAATTCAGCTTGAAATCTGAGAGTGAAGGAGACGTTCCTGCGCATAATGAGAGCTCAGTGCTGGTTCATCCCCCTGCCTGAGGGAAAGGAGCAGTGACTAGAGAATATGCTGCTTGCACTCTGATGGAAGAGCAATAGAGGCTGTGTTGTCTCCTCAGAAAGGCTACCACGAGATCCGGGAGATTCGGCAGTTCCACTTCACCAGCTGGCCAGACCATGGGGTTCCTTGCTATGCCACGGGCCTCCTGGGCTTCGTTCGTCAAGTGAAGTTCCTCAATCCCCCAGAAGCAGGACCCATTGTTGTGCACTGCAGGTATGAGAGCCCTTGGAGCCCTTCCTCCATCAGCTTTATCCCTTTTTTTTTTGTGTTCTTCTCATCTGGCAATAGGCAACTGCGTTCTGTTTGTTAAAAAATACAGTCTGTGGGCCTCAGCAGAAGCAGGAAACAGAGTGGAATATTTGGTTTTCTTTTCTAATGGGGCAGCTCTGGTGCTTAGCTGGCGTGGACTGGAGATGATATAAGTAGGTCAGAGAGGGCCATTTGAATATAGAAGACTCTCTGGTGGCCTGTACTCTCTTAGATGCTCATAGGAGAGCTAGAAAAATGGTAAATATCTGGGCCAGCCATTCAAATTGTTATCTGCAACAAACCTCACATGGCAGAAGGGATTTCTAATGGGGCAGCTCTGGTGCTTAGCTGGCGTGGACTGGAGATGATATAAGTAGGTCAGAGAGGGCCATTTGAATATAGAAGACTCTCTGGTGGCCTGTACTCTCTTAGATGCTCATAGGAGAGCTAGAAAAATGGTAAATATCTGGGCCAGCCATTCAAATTGTTATCTGCAACAAACCTCACATGGCAGAAGGGATGGTGCCTAAAAGCAGACAGGGAATTTTAAAGCAACTCTGCTTTTCTGTACCCACACACACTGCAGCTGAGCTTTGTACCAGCATCAATAGTCTTATCTGAAATGTTAGTCTGTCTTCCTGGGTCTGGATGCCAGCGTTGTGCATCTTGGCCTCCTCAAAGCCCAGGAGCTGGAATGGGAATGTCAAGCTGAAAACCTGCCCAGTGCCTTCCAGCTAGTAAATAAAAGAGGAATGCCTGAGGAAACCTCACTGCTTGGTTTCCAGCTGTGAAAATTCAGACTATTGAAGCACATGCTGGCTAACTCCCCAGCTGCTGCTCTCGCTGGTGAGGGCTCTTCTGCACTGTTTTCCTCCAGCTGAGTTTAAAGCCCTTCTCTGCAAGGCACTGTGTGAATACATAGGAGTGCATCCCTGACATGAAGAACAGACAGTTTGAGGCATGATCAGGCGTGGTGCTGGTGGTGGGAGAGGAGACCCACACACACACACACACACACACTGGCAGCAGTTTGATGTTTTCAGATGCAAGGAAAGACATTGCTACAAAAGCAGAGTTTGGGTTGGAGCAGCTGCTTCTGCAGTGCTCAGGCCACAGCTCAGGGCATGTGTGCTGTAAAGCAGGAGCACAAGGTGAGGGAGCAGAGCTGGCTACCCCAAAATCTCCCCCCTAATCAACCCACAAGCAATTAACCTCTAACTGCCACGCTGCGTGATCAGGAAGAGAGAGAATACATCCCACAGATGTCCTGAGACTGGGAAATCAATTAAATCTTACCTTTTTTAAAACATTTGGATTGGGGGGGTGGGTTTTTTTTTGTTGGATTGTTTTTTTAGCAAGCAGTGACTCAGTTTTGTAACACAACTCAGCCCAGCCTGAGGAGCTGGTGGAAGGGAATTCATCCAGAGCTCAGGGCCTGAATTTGCTGCCTTGGTGCCGTGACATGGGTCTGGGCCTAGAAAGAGTCTGAACCAGATTCACTGTCACCAAGAAAGCAAAGAGAGATTTTTCATCCTGGGTTGGATTGTTTTTTTAGCAAGCAGTGACTCAGTTTTGTAACACAACTCAGCCCAGCCTGAGGAGCTGGTGGAAGGGAATTCATCCAGAGCTCAGGGCCTGAATTTGCTGCCTTGGTGCCGTGACATGGGTCTGGGCCTAGAAAGAGTCTGAACCAGATTCACTGTCACCAAGAAAGCAAAGAGAGATTTTTCATCCTTCCCATTTTAATGAATAAATGCCATTTCCTCTCCGTTATTTATCTACTTTTGAATTTTAATGACTTGCTTTAAGTGGTAATTACCAAATTCTCCCTACCGATGCCTGGCTGGATAATGTCACTGCTCGATATTTATGAAGTGCCAGGATCCTCTAAATATAGAAATGTTATAACTATTTGTTAAAATTCTGAAAAGCTGGGAGATAAAGGGAGAGGAAATGCCACTTATTCATTAAAATTCTGCAAATGAAAAATATCTTCCCTCTATTCAGCAGTTGATTAATCTGGTCCATTAATTTATGGTCATTCATATCTCCTCGCTTTCGGCTCTGCTGGAGTTTTCATGCTGTTGAAGGTTCCATGATTTCAGCTGAGTTTTCCTTCTTCCTTTGGAGTAATGTGAAGAGACGTTCTCCTCTCTCTATCCTTCACACCTAAACAGCTTGGATGATTTCCCAGGAGGGAATGAGGACACAATGACAACACAGTTTTGTAGGAGATGGTCCAATTCTCACAAGCAGCGGGGGGCTTTAAAACTGAAGGGTTTGTGTAGCCCAGAGCACCTTCCACTATAATTTTACAGTCCACAACTTGAAATCACCCTCCTCAGGACCCAAACACCTCTGGATTAAAAAGGGGAGAGAGATGTTTGAGGTGAAGGACTGAGCCCCTTTCATCAGGCCCACATGAGTAAATGTGTGAGTCCCATGGAAGAACATCTCTGGAATTGTGTGTGTGTGCAACCTGGAGGCTGCTCTGCCAGACCCTGTGTGATGAGAGTTGTCAACATGAACTGACCTGTAAAATCATAATGATTATTGTCGTAATTTTTCTGTTGATGTCCAAGGACACAAAGCTTTTTTTATTTTTTTTCCTGCTATCTGGAACCATTTCCCTTTCAAGAAATATTCTTTTACCTCATTGTCTTAAATCCTAAGCCACTTCAGGTACACACAACAATCAACCCATTAGGGAGAGGGGAGCAGCTTCCAAGAGAAGACAGCTGTGTCTGTGCTACAGATATCTTCTCCTCCATAAAGCTCTGTCCCCCCTTGGTGCCTCATACCTCACTGTTTGCCCTGTTTTGCAGTGCTGGGGCTGGGAGAACAGGGTGCTTTATTGCCATTGACATCATGCTGGACATGGCAGAGAACGAAGGGGTGGTGGATATCTTCAACTGCGTGCGAGAGCTGCGCTCCCAGAGGGTCAATCTGGTGCAGACAGAGGTGGGTGCCAGCAGGACTCCTCTTACCTTGGGCTGCTTTTCCTGTCAGCTTCCCTGCTCGACAGGAGCCCGGCAGTTCGTTAAGTCCACGCTTGCTTGCTCTGTGTTGTGATGACACAGAACTTTTGGTGGCTGAACATGAGCAGATGGGCACGGAATCACATTCACTGTCAGCTGCTCGGGGCCTCCAAGACAGGAGGGCAAACCTTGAAGTTTAGGTCTTAGCATTGCTGATTAATTTTATTCTCGTAGTAGAAAAAAATAGCTGGCGCCTGGATCCTCTCATGATTCATTCATAGGTACAGTGCAGACTCCAGCAGTGCCTGGTTTATATCAGTTGCAAGCTAAACAAACAGAACGTGCCTGATTCAAGCTTTGGGTGCTGATGAAGCAAGCTGCTCCATCACATAGCATCCACCAGCTGCACAAACTTCTGTGGAGCTCTCATCCTGCTGCACAAGTTTTATATATATGCTTCAATGCCTTCCCCTCCTGAGGAACAGGACAATAGCCTGGCACAGAGAAAGCCTTTTGACTTTGCTGGACTTCTCCTATTTAGTTCAGGGAAAGAACTTAACCCAGAATATGAGTCCAGGGGTTTTGAAGGGGCAGGTGGAGCAGACCTGTCAGTACAGTTGTTTCTCTGGCATTATCACAGGTCCTGAGCACCATCCATTCCTGACTGTGGCCTCGTGACTGTGAGCAGGAGCTTCACACCCTGATTTCCTCCTCAGCCCGCCCCCATTTTGTCCCAGTGTTCCCCAGAGTGGTGACTTCTCATTTTACTTGTAAATTTGAAATGAATACATGAGACCTCACTTTCAATGATGGATGAAATATGCTCACAAAGCTGTCACGTAGCACACTCTGTAATTTGTCTCCACATGAAACAGAGCCAAGTATGCATATCAGGCATGATTTAAGGAAAAAACAAGTGTGATATTTCATGATCTGTATTGAAAATAAGATCTGAATGTCTTCCTCCCTCCCCTGTGCAGGAGCAGTATGTATTTGTCCACGATGCCATTTTGGAGGCATGTCTCTGTGGCAACACGGCCATTCCAGTTTGTGAGTTCAGATCCATATATTACAACATCAGCAGACTAGATCCACAAACCAATTCCAGCCAGATAAAAGATGAATTTCAGGTAATTTCATGTGTCTCGGTCATTGCAGTTGGTGTGTTAAAGGTGTTTAATCAGTTTCTGTTATTTTATGATTTCCAACAGAGCAGAGCAGGGGGACACTGAGCCAAGGGCTGAATTTGGCTGGTTTTTGTTGGTTTACTACTGCTCAGGCAGAGGTTTGTGTTTGAGCATGGACTTCTCAGCCTTCAGCAAGGAAAGAAATTCTCCATCACTTCAGCAGAGCAGGGGTACTGATCTTCACACATAATGTTCTACTTCTCATGTCAGCAAATCTTCTGTTGTTTGTTTTCTTTTGTAATTTATGCAGAAACATTTATGCCTCAAGGCCCCTTATTATCTGTTCTCTTGGCTCATATGTTGCTTCCAAGCCTTGACAATCAACTTGTTGACATCATTCCATGCAAAGGAGCTCAGTGGGCTTTACTTTCACTATTGCATAATTTTCAGTGAACTGAGTCCCTCAGTTTGCTGTAGATGTTTTGTCAAGGACCTGGTGATGAGAAGTGAAATGACAACAAAGCTCACAAGTCCTGATATAGCCCCTGGGGTAAGCAATGAAACAGGGACCACACCACTTTTGGTTTATCCCACCCTATAATATTGTGGGGAATTTTGGGCAAGGTCTCTGCCTTTTGTTAAGAGGCCATTCTTCTCAGTCAGTGGTAAAAAGGTGGAGATTCCTTTAATTGTAGAAAATTCCCACCTCCTTTCCCAGCAGAGTATATTTTGCAGCAAGAGAATGTCTTTTGGGAGCCCCAGGCTGAGTGAGGTGCCTCTTTTCCTCTCTCCCTGTGCAAAGGGAAAATGTGTAGTTTTTATCTGAAACCTTACAGGGAATCATCAGGGTTGGTGCAGTGAGATAAAGAACGTGGATCCCAACTGATGACAGTTCAATTAAAAAAAGATGTGGTTTTATCAAGTGGTATCAGATCTGTACAAGTGTTTCTGGTTCTGGACGCTTGGCATGAAGGAGCTGAAGCCTAACTTCATCAAATGCTGTTATGCTATTAAAAAACCCATCACTGCTTGCTGGGCTTATTTTGTCATGATAGGAGATGAGATTTGTCGCCCGTGTGCTTGTTCTTTTGAGCTGCCAGGGGCTGGCAACTCCTGTGGGAAGGAAAAGCTCCACTGTACTTTGCATAAGAGGTTCGTTCTCTGTCTAGTTGTGGAATCTATTTTTACAGGATTTTGGCTCAGAGCATTCTCCAGCCATAATTGTCTGGATTTAATGCAAAAGATGGTATCTTTTGGTACAGTCTTCATGAAGCAGTTGATCTAACTATAGATCTGGTGGTGTGATTTGTATTATTTAGGTCCCACTGGCCCTTAGGTAAGGCTGGGTGTATTTCTCATGTGCCACATTTTATCTGAACATAAACCAGCTCATTCTGGAGGGTTTTTGTAATCTGAATAAGTACAAAAAAAAAGAAGAGAGAGTTGGGGAAGGGCATAAAACAGGCAGGAGTAAATCACTCATGAGTCACTTGACTAATTACCTGCACTGTTAGAGATCTGAGATTTCATGTTGATTCCCCAGCCAGACTCCCTGCTTTCCATCTCTGGACAAAGGGCCTTTCATGTAGAACTTGCAAAATTTAGAGCAACTATATGATTTCAAATTTCATATGTTGACACAGTCCTTTATCTTGGATTATTTGACCCTCATCTTTTCTCCATTCATAAACCCTCTGTGGCAGAATTTAAACTTTCTGTAAGGATTTTTGGCCCTAGATATTTTTGTGTTCCCCTGGTGGCTGCAGAGGAGTTCATTGTATGGCTGCATGGGCTTTGCTCAGGAAGAGAACAGAACAAGTGAAAGTAGAGTGACATCAGACAGCCACTGATCTACCATAACTGGCAGTGTTCAGACATGTTTGCTTTGATTTGCTGGTTTTGATCCCTGCTGACCAGCCTAGACTGGTTTGTCAGAAGGCCTCCACAACAGGTAACACAGAACAAAATTAGATTTAAAGAAATACAGTTTATCAAGCTGTGGGAAAGACAGATAACAGTAAAAGACTGACAGCATGACCCCAGAGGTGAGACATGGCTACGTAAGTGAAGCATCCTGTATGCCACTCCAAAAGCAGCAATCTAAGGAATACATAAAAGAAATAGACTTTCCTGGTTAAAATAAAATAAAATAAATTAAAATTTTGTTGTAGGTTTGTATATGAATTGTTAAGATAGACCAGTAGTTGGACTGAGGAATCACCAGAAGGTCTGAACCCTCTGCTGTTTGAAACAGGGCAGTACTTGGGGTACTTGTGCAGAGGGTCCACTTGCAGAGGGAGGTGGCTGTGAACTTATCATAGAATCATAGACTCCTTTAGGTTGGAAGGGACCTTCAAGATCATCAAGTCCAACCATTGAGCCATTAGGGCTCTAAAGTCCTCTGCTAAAACAGATCAGAATCTGTCAGGGCTGGAAGGGACCACAAGGATCCCCCAGTTCCAACCCCTCTGCCATGAGCAGGGACACCTCCCACTAGATCAGGCTGCCCAGAGCCTCCTCCAGCCTGGTCTTAAAGACCCCCAGGGATGGGGCTAGAGATGCGATGGTAGAAACAGGAGGAGTTTTCCCTCCATGTGCCCAGGTCAGAGCTGCAGCTTGGACCCACGAGAGCTCCTCCCAACCTCTAGAAGAGACCAGCAGTGTTGTCCAACTGCCGATCTCCATGCTTCCCCTTCATTCGCGGGGATCATCAAGCTCTGCAAGCCTCCCTTTAAAACACACTGTGCAGATGGCACCCTTGGCAATAAATCCAGAGATGCTCAGGCTGCTTCTGCCTCTCTCTCCCTTCTCCCCCTTCTCCCTGCAGACCCTGAACATCGTGACGCCGCGGGTGCGCCCGGAGGACTGCAGCATCGGGCTGCTGCCGCGCAACCACGACAAGAACCGCGGCCTGGACGTGCTGCCCCTGGACCGCTGCCTGCCCTTCCTCATCTCCGTGGATGGGGAGTCCAGCAACTACATCAACGCTGCCCTCATGGACGTAAGCTGCACTGCCCCCACCCATCCCAGCCTGCATTCCTTCTCGGGGTGCTTTTCTGGGGGGAAAAAAAAGGATTGAAAGTAAAATCCCTTTCTTAGCTACAGCTTAGAATCATAAAATCATAGAAACCTTTAGGTTGGAAGAGACCTTTAAGATCATCAAGTCCAACCATTGAGCCATTAGAATCCCTTTTTTAGCTACAGCTTAGAATCATAGAATCCTTTAGGTTGAAAGGGACCTCCAAGATCATCAAGTCCAACCATGGAGCCATTAGGGCTCTAAAGTCCTCTGCTAAAACAGATCAGAATCTGTCAGGGTTGGAAGGGACCACAAGGATCCCCCAGTTCCACCCCCTCTGCCATGAGCAGGGACACCTCCCACTAGATCAGGCTGCCCAGAGCCTCCTCCAGCCTGGCCTTAAAGACCCCCAGGGATGGGGCCTCCACCACCTCCCTGGGCAACCCATCCCAGGATCTCACCACTCTCCTGGGGAAGAACTTCTTCCTCACATCCAGCCTGAATCTGCCCACTGCCAGCTTTGCCCCATTCCCTCTAGTCCTGTTGTTACTTGAGATCCTAAAAAGTCCCTCCCCAGCTTTCTTGTAGCCCCCCTAAGATACTGGAAGGCCACAATAAGGTCACCTCGGAGCCTTCTCTTCTCCAGACTGAACAGCCCCAACTCTCTCAGTCTGTCCTCACAGCAGAGCTGCTCCAGCCCTCGGATCATTCTGGTGGCTCTTCTCTGGACACGCTCCAGCAGGTCCACATCCCTCAGCTTGATGTTTTTAAACAGGATGAAAGCACACAGAAATGTGTCACCTAGGCTGGGATGATCCCACCACCACTGGAGTTTGCCACACATGGGTGGAAAATTTTTGACCAAGTAGTTTATGAGCTATGAGGCTGCATCACAGAAATGCAGGTGGACAAAGAGGTGGTGGGACAGCTCTTCTCATACATCAGTGGTCGTATCAGTTGGAAGATAAATGTTTGCAGCAGCTGCCAGGTCAGCTCTTTGAAAAGAATGGTTTGCAGTGTGGAGTGAGTGATTTATTTGAGCTTTTGCAGTTAAGAATATGGGAGTACAGGGATCAGATGTGCAAAATGCTTCAGGCTGAAGGACACGAGTTAAGCTGATGTGAATCTATCTTGAAGGCATTTTCCCTTGCTTTGTTTATAGGCTAGAATCTCACAGCACAGGTCATTTGTATAGGGTGGTTTGTCTTGATGGTTTCTTTTTCCTATGCTGCCTATCTCCCTTTGGACATAATTGTCTTTAAAGCCACTAATTATTGCAGTTGGAGTATGTGTAAATATGATTCAGTGTGAAATGTCATCAATTTTTCCCCAGCAATACTGAGGTTGGTCTGTTCTTTCAGTCTTTGGGGAGCAATGACACTACTGCATTTAAAAGGTTAAGTCAATTGGTCATAGGATTTAGATTTTTTTTTCAGAAAGACTGTGATGTTTTTATTGCAAATATGCCTAAGGAGACTTCTTTTTTCTTTAAAGTGTGTTTGTGCTTGGACCAATCTGCAGAAGCACAATCAATCAGTTCTCTGGTTTCTTAGGGACTGGGGACGTGTTTGCACATTTCAGCCCTCATTACCTCAGATCACTTTGCTAATGTTTGTATCCTTCCTCACAAGATTCCCACCAACTAATATTTTTTATACAAAAGAATTTTTCACCCTCCATTGAAAGTCAGGCACTTGTGATGTTCTCCTGCTCTCTTTGATCCTTCTTCCATAGAGGAACTGGCAACTTTTGAAAAATAAAAGCAGAGAGGGGAACAGCCAAAGTCTCACATTTTCATGGGCATTCTGGTTGAGGACAGACAGTGCAAATTCTTTGTCTTTTCCAGTAGCTCCATGTCTGCAGTCTGGTACCAAGCATGGAGATCTACACGAGATCCTCCATCCTGTGTTGCCTTGAACTGTTATTAGTTCTTTCATTGTATTTGGGACACTTGACAACACAGTCCAGTGCTGATCATTTTATTTACCTCTACCTTACAGATTTCTCATGTTTTTTTGAACTTCTTCCCAAACCTTATGTGGGTTGCAGCTTGCTCTGTCTATTACATGAAGGCTGTGATGGAAGAAGTGCTGGAGCAGGAGGGAGGATGGTACACCCAGGATGGGTTACAGCCTGGGTTTGGGAACATGAATGGTCCCAGGAAGACAATCTGAGAGGCTGCTCTGGGCTGTGTTCACCAAAGTTAACCTCAAACACAGAAATCCATCTGAACCCTCCCTCGGAGTTTAAAGCTGGGCTGGAGACTGTCTATGTTGCCTGCAAAGCATTAAAATCAGCTTCTTCTGCCCTGAGTTAGATTTGGGGAATACAGCTGTTCTCCCACTGTTGCCCACAGAGGGAAGGAATCCTCCCCCAGCAGATTTCAAGACTCCTCACCTTTCCTCTTCATGTCCTCTGACCCTTTCAAGTAAACAGAGCTTAGGATCTTTCCTGTGAGAACCATTGGAAAGGCAGGTTTGCTTCTGCAAAATGCTTTGTTAAGAAGAGAGGTGAAATATTCTCACTCACCTTCCCCTAAAACCATTGAACATAATCCTTAAGCAAAGAGACTCTACCCACATTTTTGGCTCAAGCCATACAGATGTGGTGATAGGTTTGTATTTGATGCATGGGGCTTGCAGAAAGACAGGAGTCCATGTCATGTCCCTGCCATCACTGGTGTCCCAAGATCCTACAGATATTCTCTTACATGAGTAATTAGCATCTCTGTAACCTTCCCTTCAAAACAGGACAGTGAGTCTGTTCCTCACCTGTAGCAAGGAAAAAAGGTGTTTCTTTTTTCTCCTGATGACAATCCCCACAACCAGGTCTTGCCTTCAGCCAGCAGTTTAGTCAGTTGTGTTATCTGCTCTATTATCTACTCTATTGCTGCACAATAAAACCAGAGCAGAATCATTATCACATTCTTAACTCATTAAGAGATAAGATTTGCTATTTAGCACTCTATTGCTTCCGTGGGCCTGATGCAAGACTCGTTTTGACCCATATTGGTCCTATAGAGTAGGGTTTAAGAAGAGGACTTATTCCAGACTGATAATTCCACAGGAAATCAATTCTTTTTTCTTCTACTTCCCATCCCATCACCCTGCTCGCTCAGAAGCATGGCACAGCCACTCTGCCAGCTGCTGCAAGGTGTGCACAGCATCCTCTGCCCCTTCCCAGCAGGGTCTGCTCAGCACTTCCACCCACAGCTGACTCATGGAGGAGAGACAAACCCCCACAACTGCCATCCTGATACTTCAGAGTTTGATTTCTTTCTTGAAATCCACAATCTTAACCTATTATGATTTTTTCTTTTTTTTCTTTTTTCATTTTCCCAGAAATACTGTGCCTTTTGATTCAGATGTACAGCAGCAAGGGCTGTGCAGTTTGTAGGCTCATCTAAGCATTGCCTGCTGTGGCTGGAAAGCGATAAAAGTCCTGAGTTTCTCCCCTTTCATCTGAAAAATGCCTCACAAACATTCATTAACACAGCCCCACAGAGGCTAGGAGCAGAGTTCCTCCCCTCCGTGCTTAGGGGATTGAGGTCAGAGAGCTTTTTTTGAGGTGAAAGAATAGCAGCAGAAATTAAATGCCAGTCTTGCAGGCTCTGAGCAGTGCCCCACAAGCTCTTAAAGGATGGCTGAGATCCAAACGTGCCACCTCTCTGCACTCCATCACCAGGGAGCAATAGCTGGCAGGGGGGCTAATCCCTTCAGGAGCTCCTGAGGTCCCTGGCAGCAGAAAGGAGAGCATTTGCTTCCAACTGTTTTCTTCCCAATTATTAATATTACTGATAGGAGTAGTAGTAGTAATAGTAGAATTAGTATTATTTGCTGAGTCTCCAAATATAAATAATTGATTTGGGTAATCTCTGCTCTTGTGACACTTCTTTAATGAAATGTCTTCATTGGGAGCAAAAGAATCCCATTATGAGCTGTTCATTCATTGCAGAGTGATAACAAGGAGAAGGATATGTGATTTGTATAATCTGGTTAAATGGCTCAGATTGCCCAGCCACAGCCTCCCGGGTGTAATATTCCTTTGAATAGAAGTTGATTGAATTTTTTTAACTAATCTTATTCTTTTGTTAGAGCCACAAGCAACCTGCTGCCTTTGTTGTAACCCAGCACCCTTTGCCCAACACCATAGCAGACTTCTGGAGGCTGGTGTTTGATTATAACTGCTCCTCTGTCGTGATGCTGAATGAGATGGATGCAGCACAGGTAAGTCAGTTCTCACCCTTTCTTTCTTCTCAAATCCAGATGGTTTTAAGTGTTTTTTTTTTGCTGCCATTTTCTTGTGTGCTCCCCTCCCCACCCTAATAAATAAATGAAGGGGGACTGGAAGGCAATAGGTAACGTTTGGGTTATGATGAAGTCTAAGACCTTGGTTCCTTCTAAGGCAGCTAATTCTTGCTGCAATTAACAGAGGTTACACAATTCCATTGTGTTGGTAGAGCTAAATTTTCCTCCCAAACTCACTTGCTTCTCTTGCATATTCTTACCTATCTTTGGTTCAGAAAAATGTTCCCTGGCACAGCCTCGACGTGCTTCATGCTTGACCTGCTCACATGGCATTTCCAGAAGAATAAAACCAAGGCAGATGCTGAAATCATTCAAAGGATCTTTTCCCTCTGGAGAAGCACAGTGTAGATTTATTTTCTTTCTAGTGTCACATGTAAATTGCTTTCTTGGCTACTCACCACACCACGACTTTCAGGAGCTGAGCTTGCCAGGGGAGGAGCCCTTGCAGTTCCTCCTGTTGCAGCATTTCCAGCCACCTTGCTGACAAGTGGCAGAAGATAACAGCTTTCCAAAAGCTGCTCCTAATCATGCAGTTTGTCTGGAGAGTACATTTGGCATGGCTAATTCACCCATCACAACACTTGTTAAACAAGAGGAGAGGAACCCTCAAGTAGTTGGTACTTCATGGATTAATTTTTCATTTGCCTCTTCTCTGTTTTCAAAATCTTACAACACTTGGAGGCAGTGAGATTATTGGTTTCTTTCTTTTGCTGGTGGTAAAGAAGCCAATCACCCCATTCACTGAGGGGATCTCCCTTCAGGTTGAACACTATGGGGTTGTGTTTCCAACCAGCAGGCTCTCCTGGTGACCAGCAGAGTCCCACCATGGGGTGAAGAACTGGAATGCCTGTGCAGTTGCTACCTCCTTTCCAATTCACCCTGCCAGATTCTGCATCTTGGCCCTGAATCCAGAGGTGAATGTCATCTTCTCAGGGTTTTTTTTCTGACATTTTAAGGCAAAACACAGCTTTTTCTGGAAATGACACACTTTCTCACACTTTATTCTTGGAGAACACAAACCTATCAGTCTCAGCCAGAGTCACTCTTGCAGCTGTCTTTCTGCACAAGACTTCACAAGACTTTTTTTCCTATCAAAGTTTTCTTTTCACAGGGTAGTCTGTAGGCACAGAAAAGGAGATTTGGCAATGCCTAAAGTCACTGTGATGGTTACTCTAGCACTCTTGCTGTCTTTCTGCATAAGATTTCACCTGCTTTGTTTTTTTCCTCTCAAAGTTTTCTCTTCATGGGGTAGTCTGTAGGCACAGAAAAGGAGATTTGGCAATGCCTAAAGTCACTGTGATGGTTACTCTAGCAGAGTGTCACCCAGCTGAAGTCTGCAGTGAATGCCAAAAGCACCCAGCTGGGACTGGAAGTTGAGGATGATTTGTATCTGATCAGTTTTCAAGGCAGGGTGTGACAGTTTGATAGCAGAATCATTTTGGTTGGAAAAGACCTTTAAGATCATTGAGTGCAACCATTAACCCAGCACTGCCACGTCTACCACTGAAGTATGTCCCTCAGTGCCACATCTTACACAGCTTCTAAATCCCCCCAGGGGTGGGGACTCCACCATTGCTCTGGGCAGCCTCTTCCAGGGCTTGACAACCCTTTTGGGGATGAAATTTTTCCTGATGTCCAACCTAAACCTCCCCTGGTGCAACTTGAGGCTGATTACTCCTGTCCCATCACTTGTTCCTGGGGAGAAGAGACTGACCTCCACCTCACTCCAGCTTCTCTTCACAGAGTTGTTGAGAGTGAGAAGGCCTTTTTTTCTCCAGGCTAAATCATCCCAGGTCCCTCAGCTGCTTCTCCAAGACTTGTGCTCTAGGCCCCTCCCCAGTTTTGTTGCTCTTCTATGGACACACTCCATCCCCTCAGTGTCCTTCTTGGGGTGAAGGAGCCCAGAACTGAACTCGAGGTGCAGCCTCACCAGTGCCAAGTTCAGGGAGATGATCTCTGCTGGCCACACTGTTTCTGATACAAGCTGGGATGGTGGTGGCCTTCTTGGCCATCTGGGCACACACTGTCTCATATTCAGCTGCCTGTCCACCAACACCCCCAGGGCTTTTTCCACCAGGCAATTTCCAGCCACTCCTCCCCCAGCCTGGAGCTTTGCAGGGAGTTGTTGTGACCCAGGGGCAGGACCCAGAACTTGGCCTTGTTACACCTCATCCCATTGGCCTCTGCTCATCCATCCAGCACTACAAACCCTTGGATGTACAGCTGCCTGCAGGTGCCACATCTGTGTGCATGAGCAGGGAGTGTTGCCTCCAGGAACAGAAGACAAATACAAAAATTACTGGTATTAAAACTGCCTGATCTGTAGAGGGGCAAAGAGTTAAATGGATAAGTGAACCTTGAAATGTTCCTTTTGCAGGAAAAGGTGCCAATAAAGTGAACCTTGTTCCTTTTGCAGGAAAAGGTGCCAATAAAACCTTGCAATGGTCAGAGAACATAACAGACTGTCTTAAGCATTGTATATACATATACTTTTTGGGCAGATGCTTTACAAAAAGCAGGTTTTAATATTTAGGAAAGGTTTCATCTTTTTTCTTCTTTTCAATGCACCAGGAGGTTGTTTCCTAAAGCACCTGCTCAGCTCTGAACTCCTTGCCTATTGGACAGATGCTTTGAGAGGAGATCTGTAGGCTTCTTGAAAGTCTGAGTGAAGAGTAAAGACAACCTTCAAAGGAGGACTTGCTTATGTGGTCTTGGCTGGCTTAATCTTAAAAAGCTAGCAAGGGCAAAGATGCCTAAGATTGCATGAGTATCCCACCCAATTTCAATCCCCTATGATCAAAGGAATAACATGAATGCAGAATTAATGCAGTAGCATGCACACACTTGACGTTATTACTGGCAGTGATTGAACTTGAAAAGCCTGAGATCAAGTTCAAATGAGCATCTGGGGGTTTCAAAACTTCTAAAATATTACACTTGAAAATAGGAGGAAAAAAAACCAGAAAGAAATACAATCTCAGCAGAAACTGCTAATGAGATCTCCTGCAACATATTTTCTCGCCACGATCTGTTTCCAGATGGATTTGAAATACTTAAGATTGTAATTTGTGTGGATAGGGGATTTTTTTTGTACTTTCAATTCAGTAATATCAGCATAAGAAAAAAAGCTTCCAACCTGCTTCACAAACTTTGGAGATTCAGTTGTGGTTCACTCTGAAACAGGAGTTGCTCTCCTTGCTCTCAGAGCAAATTCATTCTCCCTTCCCTGCTTGCTGGTAGAGTAAGGAAGCTAAGGAGTTAATCTTAGAGACAAAAGAGGTTCTACTTTGCTTGAATTAAGATGAATTTTCTTGGTGTGTGTACTATTTTCTTATTATACCAAACCTCTGTGGTTCCTATTAAATTTACCTATGGACACTAATCATTTAAAGTTCATTTTAGACCCATACCCCTCCATAAGCTTCATTTGTCAGCCACTGTTTGTGCACCTTTAGACCCCAAAATTCAACCAGGTATAAATCATGTTCATACCAAGAAAAAAAAAAAAAGGGAAAAGAGTCAAGCTTCTAATTTTTTTTTTCTTCATATTCATGATCTAAAAAACTTTTCCTGAGCTAGAAGAAGCTCTCCTCTGAGCAAATACATGTAATGCAAGATTGGTTATGGATTTTGAGCTGGTTATAAATTCAAAGGGAGAGGAGACTGAACATGCCTTTCCTTGTTAATAATTAAGGTGCTTTCTGTTTCTTTTGGTGTTTTCCTCCAGCTCTGCATGCAGTACTGGCCAGAGAAGACCTCCTGTTGTTATGGCCCCATTCAAGTGGAGTTTGTTTCAGCAGACATCGATGAAGATATCATCAACCGGATATTCCGGATCTGCAACATGGCCAGGGTAAGATCAGCCAGACACCAAAGGGTACTCCCAAAAATACACCTTGGCACAAAGAGGAGGCAGAACCAAGACTCGTGGTTTAAAGATGCTTGAATCTCTCACCTAGAAATTAAATTCCACTGCAGAACTTAGTCGTTACTTCCTTTAATTAACATTTAGTTGCATCAGTCTGTATTGGTGAAAGACTCTTGGCTGAAAGTAGAAAGTGGATGATACGAGCTGAAAATCTGTGTTTAAAGGGAAAGCATTTTTCTCTGTGTATTTAAAAATAATTAATCATTTAGTAGCCAATATAAAACCATCAGTACATAGGAAATAAACTGGGATAGTGTCAGGAGCTCTCCATCTGTCAACTGCTTTGCAGTGGTTCTGAAGACAGATGCCACTGTTACTGGCTAGACTGGGATTCCCAGTTGCCACTGTTTCTCCTATAAATAAGCAACTGCCATTTCTGTAAACAATTCTTTGTCTGTATCCCTCAGCCCCAGGACAGCTGAAGTGATAGAAACAAAGTTTATCTGCACACTGGACCCTGGCAATGCAACTTCAGAGCTGCAGGAAAGGGTTTCAGTAGATTATTTTTCTCTCATTAGTCATTTCCCAGATTGATTAGGTCTCATTTTTTTGCTCCTTTTTCATTTTCTCTAATCAGAACTGGAAACAGGCTCCACAAATTACATTTCTGTGCTGTTTAACACGTCAGTCTCTGATTGTGTGGTCAGAGCCTGTGCAGCAATTCAGTGGTGGCATTGCAGAGTGAACCTTGTGGCCAACTCCAAAGTGGATAAATCGATTAGATGTTCACCTTCCCAGATCCCATGCCAGCTCTCTGTGAACAGGGACAGCCTTGAAGTCATGTAGAAAATAAGACTAAGGCTCTGTGACTCTCAGGGTGAAGCTGGCCTGTAAGTGCATAGCTGGCAGAGTGGATGCCATGAATTCACAGCTCTTTGCACCCATCTATGTGGCCAGTGGCCACTGCTGAAACCTTTATGAGGATCCTCTCCTCCAACAGTCCCCTGAGATTTTTTGGAGGGGCTTCTTTGCCTTTAGTTCTTCTGGTACAACAAACTTCCAGCACAGGCAACCAAAAAGACACATTTGATCTATTTATATAGTTTGATGAGACTTAATTCTCTACTGGAAACAAAACAAGGGATCCTATGCCCCTAGTTTCTGCCTGGCTCTAACCCCTGGGGTCAGCACTGTTCTGTAGGTTACTGAAAAGTCCTTGTTGTATATGGTGTCCAAGTGGAGGATGTTAACCCTGGTGGCATCAGATCCAGAGGGCAGGTGCCATGTCACCAGTGCCCCCTGCTTTGCCCTCTCTCTGCTTCCTGCCTCACCCCTTTCAGCACCTTGAAAGGCTCTTTGTTTTAGCCTCAGGATGGCTATCGCATCGTCCAGCACCTGCAGTACATTGGCTGGCCAGCCTACAGGGACACCCCCCCTTCCAAACGCTCCCTCCTGAAGGTGGTCAGAAGGTTGGAGAAGTGGCAGGAGCAGTACGACGGGAGGGACGGACGGACTGTTGTCCACTGCCTGTAAGTAGGACTGGAAAATGTGGGGAACCTCACAAAATGCTGGCTGAAGAGCACTGACTGTGCATCTGGTGGTTTGCCAGGCTACAGCTAGGGAAAGTGAAGCTAAATGACATTTGTAATACACTTTGGGTTGAATTCTGGGCTGTGTTATAACATCCTGGCCCAGGGATTTCACTGGTTGCAGTGAGGAGTAGCTGCAGAAGCTCTGCTACTTTCTGTTGGGTAGGTGGGTCTCATGACTGGAGCCTGTGCCCAACCAGAGCAGCACTGCCCCATGTCCAGCTCTGACCACAGAGCTGCTGGGAGCCTCAGAGAAGTGAGCAGCAGCACTGCAGTCCCTGGGGCTTCCCTCTCCACCACTGCTAGGGACTGGCTTAGCCCTTGAATCCCATCACCTGCCCTGTCTCTGCCTCCCCAAACTCTTGACCTTCATTGTCATAAAATGGTTTGGGTTAGAAGGGACCTGTAAAGGTCACCTAGTCCAACCCCCTGCAGGGAGCAGGGACATCTGCAGCTAGAGCAGGGTGCTCAGAGCCCCATCCAACCTCACCTGGAATGATTCCAGGGATGGGGCATTGACCACCTCTCTGGGCAACCTGAGCCAAGGTCTTTTTTACCTCAGCATAAAAAAACTCTTCCTTAGGTCTGTTCTAAATCTTCCTCTTTTAGTTTAAAGCCATCACCCCTTGTCTTGTCGGACTACTGGTAGTCCATTATAAGATCTCCCTGCAGCTTCCCTTCTCCAGGCTGAACAAGCCCAACTCTCTCAGCCTGGCCTCCCAGCAGAGGGGTTCCACCCTTGGGTTGTCTTTGTGGCCTCCTCTGGACCTGCTCCACCAGATTAATGTCCTCCTTGTGCTGAGGTCCTTAACCAGTCCTTACACCACAGCCCTTCCTTGGCGTGTGTGGTGTGGGGGCTGCCATGTAAGCAGAGCTCTCCCCCATCCCCTCACCCTGGCCCAGCTTCACCTGCTGCCTCTCTTCTTCTGCACCCAGGAATGGTGGGGGACGCAGCGGCACCTTCTGTGCCATCTGCAGTGTCTGTGAAATGATTCAGCAGCAAAACATCATCGATGTGTTCCACATAGTGAAAACGTTACGGAATAATAAAGCCAACATGGTGGAGTCACTGGTAAGCCCTTTTCCTGTGCCTCAACCCTGTGTCTGCAGGGGAATTCAGAGCAGGTTGAACATTTTCATGGCTTAGCCCAGCACAAATCCAGACAAACTATAACAGGAAGCCATCAGAATTAAAATCAGCCCCATCTGAGCATGTGCAACGGGGAGGGGGCAGAACTTGTCTGCCTGTGCGTTCATACAGCCTGGTCCCTAACGCTGCCACGTGCCTGGAAACCAGGAGGGGAGAACAGTCCAAACACCAGGCCTTGCTCCCTGCAGCCAAAGGGATTAAACTGCCCTGAATTCAATCATCTCCATCGATCACACTGAATTCTTGCCTCAGGAGCAATGTGTGCAGTGAGGGCTTGGAGCAAATAATGAATAGTCCACACGCTGGCTGTGGCTTTGAGTGGTTTTCTCTTCCAGTGATGATGCCATCTCTTAGCAGTGCTCGTTCAGGGTGGCATAGAAATGCAATTCATGTTTGCCTGGTCATGCCAAACAGTATAAGAAAGAGGGAGGAGGCATTTCTGGCAGCTTGTAGAATGAAGAATTCTGAAGAGTTCACCTGTATCCTAATGCCACCGATTTCTGTTCTCTCTTGCAGGAACAGTATAAATTTGTATACGAGGTTGCACTGGAATACTTGAGTTCCTTTTAGCCCAGCAGAGGGAGGGGAGCCTCCGACGTGCCAGACTCCAATCTCTGGCAGACTCATCTCCCCTCTCCCACACTGGAAGGCAGTAACAAGTGTGGGAAGGAAGAACTCTCCTTCCCAGAGCAAGGAACTGGGATTGCACAGACCACGCTGGAAGGAGACGATGCCTGTGTTTGCTGCTGCCTGCTTTCTACTGGAACATCTACTGCTTCTTAAATAACCTACTGTAAAAATTAGCAAAATGGGAGACAGGCTGAAAGACTGGACTTTCTAATCCCCTCTGACTTCTGCTCTCCTCTTTTGGATTGTATTTTTGCTCTCCTTGCTGCAGAGTGGGGAAGGAATGAAACCCTTAGGAAATTATCTTTTAAATGTCTCCTTTTTAATTTATAATTTTGTTCTCAAATCCCAGACTTTAAATTTTTAATTTCATGCAGCAGTCATTTGGGAAAAATGAGATAGCCATGGGGGGGTATGAGAAATGTTTCATTACAATTTGTCTACCTTATCTCTTTCCTTTTATTTGTTTTTCTAAATGAAAAGGTCAACACACACAAAAAAATCTCTACAATTCTCTTCCCATATGTAGTCCCTTTTAGCATGAAAATAGATGGTGGAGATGAGAAGCTGTTCATGGATTCACTGCCTCAGCTTCTACACAAATGTTTCTTCTCAGTTCCTGCTGGACTCCCAAGGCTGTGCATGAACTGGTCACATCTCTGCTCTGTGCTCCTTCTGGTGCTGGTGAAGCAAGACCATGAATGAGCTTCCCAGCCACTTGAACCTTAAGGTTAAATATTTGCATCAAAGAAATTGCATTTGTCTTGCAACTTTTGGTAACTTTGTTACCCTATTTTTTCAAATATTTGCTGGGGTGCAGTGTGTCTTTGAAAAACAGGGTATAAAGTAGGTATTGCTGAGCATATACTATGTATGATTATTTTTTATTTATTATTTGTATTGCTGTAGAACTTAGGACCCCTAGTCATGACAGGACCCTGCT